ACCCCCAGGGATGGAGCTGCCACCTTCAAGATCATCTAGTGGATCATCTGGGTGGTCTTTAAGGTCCCTTCCAACCCAAACCATCCCATGATCTAAAGCTCATCCAGTCCCCCCATGGGCAGGGACACCTCCCAGCAGCCCAGGCTGCTCCAAGCCCCATCCAACCTGCCCTTCAACACCCCCAGGGATGGGGCAGCCACAGCTTCCCTGGCCAACCTGGCCCAGGCTCTCCCCACCCTCACACTCCACAATTCCCTCATCAGCTCCAACCTCCAGCTCCCTCTCCCACTTTTCATCCCTCCCCCTCATCCCATCCCTCCCTGCCCTTGGCCCAAGTCCCTCCCCAGCTTTCCTGGAGCCCCTTCAGGCCCTGGAAGGAAAAGAAAACCCAAGATCTTTTATCACAAAGATAAAAATAAACCCACGTAGCCACCAACACTAACGACTTTCCACATGAATTTCCTGAGAAGGCCCTTCTTCCCCACTGCTCATTAGCATTAGGGATGCTCTAATTAATGCCCAGAATCTCAGGAGGGATAGGGAAGGGTGTTATCAGGGGAGTTATCAACTCTGAGGCTCTGCACAGCTGAGGACAGCTGGGGTGGGGTGGGCAGGAGGAACCAGGGACACAGCTCAGCCCAAAGCAACACCCTGAAGAGGGGGAGACACCAGGGGACCAAACTGATTTGAAACTGGGGACACAGGAACCTGCGGGCATGGGGAGCCATGAGCCCACACCACAGCCAAAAGGGCCAGTGCCATCCTGGGGTCCCTTTCCCCACCTCCTCCCAGTTACAGTGGGGCTGGTGCAGGCAGGACAGGCCTGGACAAGATCAACTGGAGATTGGAACCACCTTTCCTGTCGGAGAGGAGTGATCAGTTACCTGCTTCCAGCTCCTCTGGCTGCAAAAGAAGAGCTTGGGCAGGAGGTCAGGGAGGTTCTGCCCCTCTGCTCTGCCCTGGTGAGGGCATATTTGGGGAACTGGGTCCAGTTCTGGGCTCCCCAGTTCAAGGACAAGCTACTGGTGGGAGTCCAGCAAAGGGCACAATGATGAGGGGACTGGAGCTGTGAGGAAAGGCTGGGGCTGTTCAGCTGGAGAGGAGGAGACTGAGTTGGGGTCTCATCAGTGCTGATCAACATCTCCAGGGGGTGTCAGGAGGGTGGGATCAGGCTCTTCTCAGTGACAGGACAAGGGGCCATGGGCACAAACTGGAGCACAGGAGGTTTAACCTAAATAGAAGCAAATCCTTCTTGACTTTTGGGGGTGCCAGAGCCCTGGGCCAGGCTGCCCAGAGAGGCTGGGGGGTCTCCCAGTGCCTGGAGACACCCCCAGCCCATCTGGAGGTGTTCCTGTGAGATCTGCTCTAGAGGATCCTGTTCCAGCAGGGCTAGATGATCTCAGGAGGTCCCTTTCCAAGCCCCACCACCCTGGGAAAGGCTGGCTGGAGAGGGAGGCCCTGCAGGGCTGACACCCAGCCCAGGCTCCAGCAGCTCCCCAGGGGGCTCAGCAGCCCTGCACAAAAGCAGCAAAGGGTTTCCTGGGCCCAGAGGAGGGGAAGGAAAACTCCCCAATCCACTGGCAGCTCTTTGTTTGAAGAGCAGGAGTGAGACTGAACCACTGAGCAGGTCACAGAGATCCTGATCTCTCCCAGTTTGCCCTGTTTGTGATCTGGAGAGGGAGGCAGGTGACCCAGGAGGCCTTTATTGCATCATCTTGTTTCCATATCAAATGAGATTTCCTTCTCCAGGACACCCAGATCAGCCCCTTTCACCACCACCAGCTTTACTGCACCAAAACACCTTGGTATTTCAAGCACTGGTCACCTCAGGGTCCTCAGAGCAGCCCCCTCACCCTTGTGAAGGGGTTTGTGACACCAGTGAGAGGGGGACACTGCGAGGGGGAGGGGACACAGCAAAGGGGAGGGACACTTTGAGGGGAAGAGGACACAGCAAAGAGGTGTTCTAGAGTGTGAGGGTGGGGAGAGCCTGGGCCAGGTTGGCCAGGGAAGCTGTGGCTGCCCCATCCCTGGGGGTGTTGAAGGGCAGGTTGGATGGGGCTTGGAGCAGCCTGGGCTGCTGGGAGGTGTCCCTGCCCATGGAGGGGGTGGGACTGGATGATCTTGAAGGTTCCTCCAACCCAAACCACCCTGTGATTCCACAAGACAGACTGGGAGAGTTCGAGTGTTGAGCCTGGAGAACGTTCCAGGGAGACCTTAGAGCAGCTTCCAGGGCCTGAAGGGGCTCCAGGAAAGCTGGGGAGGGACTTGGGCCAAGGGCAGGGAGGGATGGGATGAGGGGGAGGGATGAAAAGTGGGAGAGGGAGCTGGAGGTTGGAGCTGAGGAGGGAATTGTGGAGTGTGAGGGTGGGGAGAGCCTGGGCCAGGTTGCCCAGGGAAGCTGTGGCTGCCCCATCCCTGGGGGTGTTGAAGGGCAGGTTGGATGGGGCTTGGAGCAGCCTGGGCTGCTGGGAGGTGTCCCTGCCCATGCAGGGGCTGCACTGGATGACTTTTATGTTCCTTCCAACCCAACCCATCCCATGACTCAATGAAGAACCCCATGCAGATTGATCAAACTGCCTGCTCAGCCACCACTGATCCCACCAGCTCAGCCCTGCCCCCCCCATGGGTTCATCATCTGCACTTTGAGATGCAAAACCCAAATCAGAATTTAACAAACTTCCCTTGGGGAAGGAAGAACACATCCCATAAAATTCCCTGCCTGACCACACGTTCTCCCTCAGTCCCTCTCACCCACCATCATTTCAGGCACAGAAAGGGCCTGGTTGAAGAATTTTGGGGGAAGTTCCTTTGTCCTGACAAAGCTGGAATGGATCCAAAGATGAGGAGTTGGAGGCTGTGAAAATCCTCATTGTAAAGACAAGGGATCTCCAAGGAAACCTCCAAGGCAACTGAGATTCTTCAGCACTGTTAGAAGAAATGCAAAGCAAACAGGCACAGAAACATTCTGCCCAACATCAGGAGCAGTTTCCTGATACCTGGATACATCAGGAAGTGGGAAAAGTCTCCCTCAGGGTAGCACTGAAAAATGCAAGGTCTGAATCACTTTAAAAACTCCTAGTTGGGAAAAGGATTCACCACCACAACACTCTCATGGTCCTCTGAGGAAGGGAAAGTGTCTCCTTTAGTGCTTGTCAGGTCTCATTTCTGGAATTAGTCCTGGTTTTGAGCTCCTTGTTTTGGACAACAGCACCATCACACCTTGAAATCACAGTAACTGAAGAACAAGGGAGTTCTCATACCAAAAAAACAACCCCAACCAACCAGTCAGAACCACTAGTCCTGAAAGCTCAGCCTTGCTGGGCACGAGGCAATGGCATGGAAAGACACAAAGGGTGTGAGCACACTCCTAAAAACCACATTTATTACACCAGAACCTAAAGATGGACCAAGATCAAGGTACAAAACACACTTGGAGTGACCAGCCCTGGAGAGCAAACAGCCTGGACAACAGGAAGTTCATTCCCTGGCCTGGCTGAGGGCTGGCACAAACCCGGGTGCCAGAGCCCTGGGTGTCTAAGGGCAGAAAATCTTTCATTTGTCCTTCCCTGGACTGTCTAGGGGCACAAAATCTTTCATATATCCTTCCCTGGACTGTCTGGGGGCACAAGATCTTTCACTTGTCCTTTTCTGGCTCTTCTGGGGACACAAAATCTTTCATATATCCTTCCCTGGACTGTCTGGGGGCACAAGATCTTCCTTTTGTCCTTCCCAGGTCTGTCTAAGGGCAGAAAATCTTTCATTTGTCCTTCCCTGGACTGTCTAGGGGCACAAAATCTTTCATATATCCTTCCCTGGACTGTCTGGGGGCACAAGATCTTTCACTTGTCCTTTTCTGGCTCTTCTGGGAACACAAAATCTTTCATTCATCCTTCCCTGGCCTGGCTGAGGGCACAAAATCTTCCTTTTGTCCTTCTCAGGTCTGTCTGGGGGCACAAGATCTTCCTTTTGTCCTTCCCAGGTCTGTCTGGGGGCACAAGATCTTCCTTTTGTCCTTCCCAGGTCTGTCTGGGGGCACAAGATCTTCCTTTTGAACTTTCCTGGCCTGTCTGGGGGCACAAGATCTTCCTTTTGTCCTTCCCAGGTCTGTCTGGGGGCACAAGATCTTCCTTTTGTCCTTCCCAGGTCTGTCTGGGGGCACAAGATCTTCCTTTTGTCCTTCCCTGGCCTTTCTGAGGCACAAAGTCTTTCAATTGTCCTTCTCTGGCTCTTCTAGGGGCACAAAATCTTTCATTTATCCTTCCCTGGTCTGTCTGGGGGCACAAGTTCTTCCTTTTGTCCTTCCCTGGTCTGTCCAGGGGCACAAGATCTTTCACTTGTCCTTCTCTGGCTCTTCTGGGGGCACAAAATCTTTCTTTAGTATAAAAATAATCCTAAGTGTTTCCCTGTGAGTCAAAACCCAAATCAGACCAACTCTTTTTTTTGCTCCTGAGACCAAAACCTGTTGCAACCCCTGTTGGTTTTGGTTCTTTTGGCAACAACTGAGACAAAACAACCCAAGGGGTTAATTTGTAAGCGGAGATTGTTTTTTTAATTAAACAGGACTATTTAAATATATATATATATATATATACACATACCACAGAAAATATTGCACCATTAAAAAAACAAACCAGGACATTTTACATCTAATCATGTTAAACACACCTTGTCCTCCCTGCACTGATTCACAGCAACTGGTGGACATGGACAAGACAACCTGTGCTGGCAGACACTGTGGGATCTGCTGGTCCACACAAATCCCAGAGAAAATACCTTTCCTTCATGGAGAACATCCACATGGTTGTCCCAGTGGGCTGCAGGACCAAACCTCCCTCTGGAGCTGCTCAGGAGTCAGGACAAATTCAAAAGAAAGGCTTTGGGAACTTCCCAGCCTCAGTTTCTTCAGGGCTTGGTCGGCACAGTTTTCTGGGAAAATCTCTTCTGCTTCAGGGCTCAAATCTCCAGAACTTGGAAGCTCTGGAGAGACCCACCTGCATCCCTATCCAGGGAGAGGGGCATTCCAGTGTAGTTTGCTCTTTGACAATTGTAATCCAAGGGGTTAAGACTTCTCAATCTTCAGTAAGACACAGCCCCAGGGTCCCGTGGGATGCTGAAAAGGACATCAGCTTTGGCATTGATGAAGTAGGTGGCAAAGAGGGAGATGATGAGGATGGCAATGCCCACCAGCAAGGTGAGGATCTGGGGAGGGAGAAGGAACAATCAGCATCCCTGGTTCAGACTCAAGGAGGAGGAACAAACACCCAACATCCCTGGTACAGACCCAGGGAGGAGGAACAAACACCCAGCACCCCTGGTACAGACCCAGGGAGGAGGAACAAACACCCAGCACCCCTGGTACAGACCCAGGGAGGAGGAACAAACACCCAGCACCCCTGGTACAGACCCAGGGAGGAGGAACAAACACCCAGCACCCCTGGTACAGACCCAGGGAGGAGGAACAAACACCCAGCATCCCTGGTACAGACTCAGGGAGGAGAAACAAACACCCAGCACCCCTAGTACAGACTCAGGGAGGAGAAACAAACACCCAACACCCCTGGCCTAGGGGCACAAAATCTTTCATTACACCCAACACCCCTGGTACAGACCCAGGGAAGAAAAAACACCCAGCATCCCTGGTACAGACTCAGGGAGGAGGAACAAACACCCAGCACCCCTGGTACAGACCCAGGGAGGAGGAACAAACACCCAACACCCCTGGTACAGACCCAGGGAAGAAAAAACACCCAGCATCCCTGGTACAGACTCAGGGAGGAGGAACAAACACCCAGCAGCCCTGGTCCAGCCCCAGAGCTGCAGCAGCTGATGGAATCTGCATGGAATGGGGGTCTCTTACCAGAGACCAGCTCCCTCCTGAGGCACAAGCAAAATAATAAAGATCCTCTGACCTTGCAGAGTTGGACAAAAGCCACCAACAAGGCACAAAAACTGATGTTTAAGGGAAAAGGATCCATGACTGTTGTACCATGGAGAAGGGACCTGCCATGTTTCATGTGGTCAAAGCAGTTTGCCAAGATTTTTAGCCTGGTTTTAATGTAAGACATTGGCTGCTCCTGCCTGAACTGTCACTTCCCCCAGCAAGGAGCTGGAAGTGCCTTCAACCCAGCAGAGCTGCTGGGAGAACCAACATCTCTCACCAGCAGCACAGAGATTTCCTCCTGCTCAGCACTTTTCCTGAAGCCCAAGTGCCAGCCCAGGCACTTGTGAGATTCCTTCCTCCCAACCCTTCCTCTTGCAGGGCAGGGGTCCCTCCTGATCCCCCCTGGACATCTTGTGCAGTGTTGGACCCTCTTGTGCTGCTACAACTGTTGAAAGTACATTTTCTACTGGGTGAACACATCGAGGTTCAAACTCTGCATCTCCAGGGCACCAGTTACTGGGTTGTAATGGGCTGGGAGACACGGGCAGGGCTCTGGGCTGGTCTGGCTGTGTCAAAATAACCCCAGTGCCAGGAGAATAAACTGCTCAGATTTCAAAGAACCACCTAAGAGATGCAACAACTGTCTGGGCTTGCACTTTCTGAGGAGGAGAGCAGGGCAGGGTCTGTCCCCATAGGGTGTGACATCATTAACAGCCAAGCAGAGGGGATCCAGACAGACCCAGGGTCCCAAGATGCCTCTTAACCCTTATTCTGCTGGTGCTGGAACCAGCTGAGGGCTGCCTGGCCCACCTGAGGACAGCCTTGGCCCACCTGAGGAGAGCCTTGGCCCACCTGAGAGCCCCGGACCACCAGCAGCTTCTGCTGGTGCCCAAATGATTTCTGGGCTTTCCAGGGAGGATTCAAACTGCAAAGATCTGGGCTGTGGATCAGGCAGAGCAGCTCAGCAGCCACATTCCCTGCCTTGCTTCCCTGTGCTGAGGGAAGGGGGGAAAATTCCTATCACTTCTCTTTTATTCCCAGCCCTCAGCCTGCTCAGGGGACTCTTGATCACTCTGCTCTGTCTCAGCCTCAACCAGGAGGTTATTAACCCCCAAATGGCTGGAGCTGGCAGGATTAGCACCAGCTTTTCATTCCTGATTCCCTCATTCCCAAGGTTCCAAGCCTGGCTGCTCTAAACTGGGACTCTCACACTGACACAACATCTCCCACCAACCTCTGAGCTGTTTCTCCAGCTCTCAGATGATGTTCTGCACAGGTTTCTCCTTTTCCCTCTACTTGGTTGATTCAGACAGGTCCAAACTCACCTCTAGCTCCTTGCTGGCTACCAGGAATATCCTGGCACGGATCTCTTTCCACCGACTCTCTGTCCATGTGGAATATTCTGTGGATCCCCACTGCCTCAGCTCAAAGGCAGGAGAAAGAGCTTTGCTCAGGTGGACACTTGACCGAACACAGAAGGGGACTCGGGATGTTGAGTTGGGGTCCAGGGAACCTTGAACCCAGGCATAGTCATAGATCTGCAGGGAGAATGGGAGGGAGAGCCAGAAATGAGCCACCCATGGAGTTGGATCTAGGTGGGCTTGAAGGTCCCTTTCAACCCAAATCAGTCCATGATCCTATGAAGAAGCTGAAGGGTGGCTGGGTGGTGGAAGGACCTGGGGTAGGAGTCAATGCTGGGGTGGGATCCCCACCCCACCTGGGGTGGGATCTGGGTTTGGGAATGGGAGGAGATCCCTCTTAGAGGCTTCTCTGAGCCCTCTCACCAAGCCTGGCTTAAAACAAGTCCAGAGGACACAGATGATTCCAGGGTTGGAGCAGCTCTGGAGCCAGGCTGGGAGAGTTGGGGTGTTGAGCCTGGAGAGGAGAAGGCTCCAGGGAGACCTTAGAGCAGCTTCCAGGGCCTGAAGGGGCTCCAGGAAAGCTGGGGAGGGACTTGGGCCAAGGGCAGGGAGGGATGGGATGAGGGGGAGGGATGAAAAGTGGGAGAGGGAGCTGGAGGTTGGAGCTGAGGAGGGAATTGTGGAGTGTGAGGGTGGGGAGAGCCTGGGCCAGGTTGGCCAGGGAAGCTGTGGCTGCCCCATCCCTGGGGGTGTTGAAGGGCAGGTTGGATGGGGCTTGGAGCAGCCTGGGCTGCTGGGAGGTGTCCCTGCCCATGCAGGGGGTTGGATCTGGATGATCTTTCAGGTCCCTCCAACAAATCCCATGATTCCACAACTATTACAATCAATACCAAAGATTCCTAAGCAGCTTTCCTCAAGAACAGGATCCAAACTGGGCAGCTGACCTGCCCTTGCGCAGCAGCTCACCCTGATGGCTCCTTACCTCATGCTCAGTGTTGGGTGCCTTTTCAGGGTTCTGGCACTCTTCCTTGGTGAGGTTAACCACAGTGCCTGTGAGGTTGGCCAGGACATACTGCACAAGGTAGGTGGTGTTCACAGGGCCAGCAACAGCCACATAGTGTTGAGGAACATCACCTGGAACAGCCAGAACAGTGGGGATTGACAGGGAGGTGACCAGAAGAAGACAATGTTAGTACTCAGAAAGCTGCCAGGTAACATGTGGAGTCAAACACATTCTTGTGTTCTTCATCCTTATGTTGTTCTTACCCAGAATTCCTTTTAAGTCTGGTTTAATGATGGATTGAAACCAGGAATTGTTCATTTTAATCAGAAATCCATAGAGCATTTGAGTGACCTGGGAGAGAGATGGAAACTGGTTCACAAAAAGGGGAGAGAAAAGAGCATCTTCACAGCTAAACCTCTCAGGATTACTTGGCTGACAGATGTTTCCTGCTACAAGAGCTCAGCAAAGGAAAGACTTTGTGTCACAAATTTAGGTAAGTCAGGACAGAGCTGTGAAAATTGGGGCGATTCCAGCCCCACTGATTCCTTAGCTGATCCCTGTGGCATTTCACCTCAGCTTCCTCTTCTGCTTTGTGGGAGGAGGATCAAGGAGCTCTGTCTTGTAAAGGACTTGTGGAGATTAGTGTCTGCCCTGGGAGGAGAGAGGAGGAACCAGGGAAGGGTTGTCCCCAACATCAGAAGGACATGGAGCTGTTGGAGAGGGTCCAGAGACCACAGAGATGACCCAAAGGCTGGAGCAGCTCTGGAGACCCAGGCTGGGAGAGTTGGGGTGTTGAGCCTGGAGAGGAGAAGGCTCCAGGGAGACCTTAGAGCAGCTTCCAGGGCCTGAAGGGGCTCCAGGAAAGCTGGGGAGGGACTTGGGCCAAGGGCAGGGAGGGATGGGATGAGGGGGAGGGATGAAAAGTGGGAGAGGGAGCTGGAGGTTGGAGCTGAGGAGGGAATTGTGGAGTGTGAGGGTGGGGAGAGCCTGGGCCAGGTTGGCCAGGGAAGCTGTGGCTGCCCCATCCCTGGGGGTGTTGAAGGGCAGGTTGGATGGGGCTTGGAGCAGCCTGGGCTGCTGGGAGGTGTCCCTGCCCATGCAGGGGGGTGGGACTGGATGATCTTGAAGGTCCCTTCCAACCCAACCCATCCCATGACTCTGAAAGGTTTTTCACTCAGCTGTGGTGTAAAGGCAGAAAGGGGAGGCAAAGCCCTGCTGGAGACAGACAGGACAGCCTGCTGTGTAAACAGACATAAACAGAGACAGAAGGGAGGGACGTGAGGGCTCAGCAGAGATGCCAGGGACTCGGTTCCATCTGCTCCTACCGTTCTTGGATCTGCCTGGATGGCCGAGGTGCTGCTGGCTCCCCCTGCCAGTCGGTACAGGGCACGGGCCACCACCGTGGGCACCTCTGCCAGGGGCTGGCAAAGG